AAAAAAAAAAAATTGAGTCCCAGAAATAATGCATCTTGCAACAAATTATCTAGACCATCCATTTTCAAGATTTTCAAATATTTATAGATGTACTTGATTTTAACCATTTTTGGAGTATAAAATTTTATAATTAGAATTAAAAATAGATTTTCAAATAATCCTAAGAATTTTTAACACCAAAATTACATGTTATGTTATGATAAAATTTGGAGGTGCATCTTAATTGGATTGTTTAAGGTTGCAACCTTATAGAAACCACACCCTTTTATATAATATATATAAAATAATGTTTTATTTGAAAAACTGGGTCGGATCAAGATCGGACTCAAGATCGGATCCACCTATACGCGGATCCAATTTGAACAACTATTCGGATCAGAATTTTGGATCCAGATCCAAATTTCGGATCTAAATCTTGGATCCATACACAATTTCGAATAGTATCCGAAATCCGGTTTTGGATCCATATCGGGTAAATTCTCACCCCTAGCCAGCCTATTAGCTTCTATATTGGCTTCCCGAAGTATATGGTAGAAGGATACCTATGGAAGGGAGCTACACAAAAAAGATATATACTCAAAAATGTTATTCACGTGCCAAGGGGCTATGAATATCGAGTGCCCAAGAGATAATGTTGCTGGAATTGGACTCAACAAGAGGTCGCTGGAAAAGTGATCCAAGTTTAGTAACCTCCTTAAGGCCTTCTGAGAGCCAAGGGTTCTGCGGTGAGGAAATTTGTGGTTCCTATGAACTCCAAGAAGAAGAGAAATATGCCTTCTAACTTTTCCACAGTGCCTCCAAACCCAGAGGGGCTGAGATTGCCTAAGGATGAGCCATCAGTGTTAAGCTTAAGGAAACCAGGAGGGGGAGGGTTCCACTAGCCTCGAATACTAGTCGCGGGAGTAGAGAGAGTTAGGAGGGAATCCCAGCTAGCTGGGAACTGAGATATAGGGATATTGGCGAAGATAGGGATAAGTTTGCCCAAACAGAGATGAAAGATAATACAGAATCAAAGATTGAACGCTCACACCTAGAATTCCTCTTAAGGTCTTTGAGTTCCTCTCCAACCAAATGCTCCATAAAAGGCTGCCACAGACAGTTGCCACAATTTTCAGCCATTTCTAGGAAATGGCGGGGAGAGAAGAGCAGAGAAAAAGGCTATCTAGAGATGGGGGGGGTAACCCATTGAAGACCAAAGAGCTTCAGAAGAGAAGACCAAAGCAGGAAGAGCTTAACAATGAATGAAGAGATGGTGGGTTTGTCTCCTCTTGTTGGAGTCACAAGATGCATCTATTGGATAATACGAACCCACGTCTCTGCAACAGGTCTAAAGTGAGGCTCTTATCCTGAAGGAGTACCCATTTAAAGGCCTGAACCTTGTGAGGCACAGGCAGAGACCAAGATATTAATGATAGATGATAGGGTCAGGTTAAGAAGTAAGGAAGAGTAAAAAAGAAGCAACAGTGAAAGTCCCTGAAGCGTTAGGGGGACCAAATGACAGTCCTGACCATGGAGAGTGCTGAAGAGAGGTGCAAGAATTTAAAGGAGGCAGTTAAAGGACGAAGTTTCCTGGTCAGTAAGGTTCCTTCTAAAAATTGGAGTCCATACGAGGCAGGAGCCTCTAAACTCGGTGTAATCCGCAATTACTACTTCCTGGTTGTGAGCGGGGAGGAAGAGGGAAGGGAAGGCCTGTTTAAGGGGAACATCTCTAATCCATTTGTCTAACCAAAACCTGATACGCTTGCCACTGCCAAGCCTGAATCTACTACTATTGAGGAAGGCTAGTTTGCAGGGGCTATACACTTCCAAGTTCCAAAAGATCTATGGTCGGGAGGATTCTGAGCAGTCACCCTCCATCCTCTGACCCATATTTTGCTGAGACAATATGCTTTTTTTTTTTATAACTTTGCTTAGACAATACGCTTCCACAGGAAGGGGTGGAGGGAAGTGAACTTCCACCACCATCTGCCCAACAAGGCTTGGTTCATGATTTTATGCATTTTGATGGCCAAGCCTCCAAACTTTTTGGGAGTGCAAACTCTCTCCCAAGCTATTAGGTGAAATTTGTGGCCATCAGCAGACCCAGACCACATGAAGTCTCTCATAAGCTTTTCGAGGCATTGTAGAATAGAGACTGGAATTTGGAAAAGGGACATGTAGTAAATGGGAATGCTTGCAAGCGTGGCTTTAATACGGGTAATTCTTCCCTCAAAGGAGAGGGATCAACCCTTCCAGCTAGTGAATTTCCAGTTGAACTTCGATGAGAACTGTCTCCAACACCCCTCTGGGTTGTCTAAACATAGGGGAAGGCCGAGGTATGAGGAAGGGAGGGACTCTGTAGCGCATCCTAAGTGTTGGGAAAGGGACCAAATCAGCCATGTCAAGTAGGATTCCTAGCATTTTGGTCCTCAACATTTAAACGTTCATCCCTGAAAACGGTTCAAAGGTCCTAAGAAAGAGCCACAGAGTGTCACTGGTTAGGATTGGCATCGCAGAAGATTAAAGTATCATCTGCGTAGAGGAGATCGGAGAGAATTGGCCGTCTAAAGATGTTTGAAAACCAATAAGCAGGCCCCTCTATAGAGCCTGGAGATGATTCTGGAGAAGAGTTATCCTATAAGCGTGAAGAGGACAGGTGAGAGAGGGTCAGGCCGCTAACAACAGGAAAGAAGCCTACTGGGGCTCCGTTGAGGAGGATAGAGAAATTGGTGTTGGAGATGCAGGCTATGATCCAAATTCTCCATCTAGAGCCAAAGCCCATTTGGGCCTATATGAGGTTTAAGATATACCAATCGACTCGGTCATAGGCTCTCTCCCCATCAAATTTGACGATAAATCCCTTATGTTCTAAGAGTGCTCGAGAGTGTAAAGCTTCATGGGCCAAGAGAAGCCCATCTAAGATTTGTCTGTTGGCTACAAAGGTTGATTAGGTTGGGAAAACAACAGAAGTGAGCACCTCTTGGAGGCGGGAGACTAAAACCCTGGCAAGAATGTTGTAGGAAGAGTTTAGAAGGCTAGTAGATCTAAAATCTTCAGCCCCAGCCCCTTCTATTTAGGGGACCAACACTATGAATGTGCAATTTAAGGGGAAATTGAGACGACCTCTAATGAAAATTTCTTCAAAGAAAGCTAGAAGGTATGTCAGGGCGACGGTGTCCCAAAAGTGCTGGAAAATAACAATAGGGAATCCGTCAAGGCCCCAAGATCTTGCAAATCTTATCTTTTGGTTTCCGATTTTTGAGATGAGTAAAGCTTTGGTTAGCTTCAGATAAAGTAGAACCAAAGTCCAATCGCAAAGAAAGTTCAGGGAATTTATTTTAAAGTATTTGAGGATACGTTTCTGAATATTGGAGACCTCAATTTATGCAAATTACAACTTTGGGTCGATTCACTTTGAAACTTCCAGTACGCAAAATATGGGTGGGTTTCTTTTGCTCAACTTGAAGTCCAAGAAACAAGTTTCTTTTAAGACAAATATCCCTAAATTTGCAGAGAACTATTAGAAGCATTCTGGAAAACTAGTTGCTTTCTTGCAATTTTTTCCTCAATTTTTGAATAATCCCTAAAATATGAAAAAAAAAAAAAAAAAAAAAAAAATTGAATCTGAATATGTTGATTTTTCCTATTTTCAATTAATTAAATAATAAAAAATATTTTCCTTTCCTATTATTTTTTCAATTTTTCTAGTTTCATATTTCTCCTACATTTTTATTTTATATTTGATGAACTGGACAGAATGCACCAAGCCAACTTGCTTCAGGCCCGGTCTGGGTTTGAGAACGAGTCTGGGTTTTTAAACACTGGTTTCAACTTGACCACAATAGTATTTTTACCAAACCTTAAAGGAGCTACTCCACTTAGGGCATTCTTGGCAAATTCAGAAGGCAGCACAACATACGGCAACCTCTATAATCCACACTTTATACACTTTCTTGCCCCCATGCTACTCCCCATAATGGCTAATTCACATTTATTGGATTTAGAAACATAACAAGAATACTTCTAATTCTTTTAAAAGCACATATATCACACAAATGACTTGATAAAATGTAAAATTTCCCTTTCATATACATTCCAGGAAGATATACTGGTTTGCACTGCAGGAGTCTAAGACAAAATAAGAAGCTACCAATCAATACAAACAGGAGCATTTGCTAGTGGCAGCTCAGAAAGGAGTCCGTAAGGAAACCAATCATACCTTGTCCCTTGCAATTGGATGGGATAGAAAGCACATCATAAGCTTATGCAGATATGCATTGTACATGTAGATCATGTCCTCATCGTCGTTCTGTCAAAAAAAGTACGAATATGGGAAAACTGAGGAAACCAAGGCTTGGATTTCTCCCCTTACATCAAAATAGGTGAAGTAATAAACATCACATATATTCTCTAACAATAGGTTAGCCGGGTCTCCACAATAACTCTATAACAGTAATTAAAACAATCTACAGACCAAAATGCACAATTTTCAAAAAAAAGAAAGAGAAAAATAGCACTGCAGGTATACAGTTTGGATCTAAAACAATCAATATTGGAGAATTGATATTATTATATCACTTCAGGATTAGGTATCAAACAATAGCAATGCAAAAATACAGGACATAAAAAGAAACCAGGTTTTAAAAGATTTGGAACAAGATGGATTAGGAGCACAAGAAAGAGTATGGAACCATGTCAAGGAAATCCCATTGTGAACTACCCACAAAGAAATAGCTCAAACAACCAGCCAGGAATAAAATGATAGTATTCAATAACCAGAACCATTCCCTCATACTTCTGCTCTACCTGGTAGGCTGGAGTTTGAACAATTTTATCCAGTGAAAACTGAAAAACATTCTTCATGCACGCATGTTCTAGACATGAGCATATATTCGCCACAGAAGAAACACCTGAAGAAGTATATTTTCCTTCTACTGTTATCATCAGATAAACTGCCCATGCAAATCTTATAGAATCGACAAAGCCCCCAACGCTTGGATCAATTCCAGGAGCAACTACCTACAAAGATAATAACACGATCACACCAATATCAATTGGCAAAGAATACTGTTACACAGGCAGACTAAATATGTAAGCAACAGCACTTTAGCTTACAAGATCCTGAAATTCGTGTCTGAAAGAATCATCTATGGATAGAGCAGAGACTTTATCACGAACAGTGCTTAAGGCATCTGATGTTAGAGAAATGACAAGCCCAAAGAAAAGACTGTATGAAGTCTGCAGAGAAAGAAAAATCCAAGGCGAATTTAGCAAAATAACAATTGAGAGCATGGTAAATACCAATTCCAAATAAGAACAAAAAACTACATCAATGTCCAACAGCATGGATGACATAGCACATAGGACAATGACTGTACACATGAGGCATAATACATTAGAGATATAGGCCCGAAAGACATATATAACATCACCTGGAGTGTTACAGTCCCTCCACCATTTAAATCAACAATACTATCTTTTAGTGCCACAAATATATCCTTTGCATCTTTTGGATCTATAAAAAACCAGGATCAAATGACCATTAGCCACACGCCCAGGAGTAAGCAAGAGTGTATTTTTCCTTTTTCTTTTGAATCATAACAGTAAGCAGGAGTTCATGAAACTAGATAATTACCAATCATGTTACACTAACAATGTGTGTCCCAAGTTACATCAAATATGGCCAATGTAGAGCACCCAGAACAATAAAAGACCACCCACATGCACAAAAAATACCATCTCAGTGGATTGCCAAAATAAAGAAATCCTTGTAACCAACAAAACAAAGAAAATCCCTATTAGTACCAGCAAAACTCGGAAACTAGATATGCTAATCAACTATCCTTCATGCATAACAGTTCTATCTCCCATAGGCACCAACTTTACATGGCAGGTTTCACAAAACAATTTACTTCACAAAACTAATAACCATGTACAATGATATTCAAGAAGCTCAAAATTCATTAAGGACTCAAAAGTACAAACCAGTAATAGACGCACATAATAAATTCAAAACATCTCATTGACCAATATTTGCAGTTCTTAGAAACACTTTACGAATACAAGTGTCATTTCCACCTCTTAAAACTAATTTCTTAAAATAGAAGAATGACCAGGATTAAAGAAAACCTTACTTATTCGAAGAATGAGGACAGAGAGGACAAGACAATGGCTGATAGTTAGACGCTCCCTTAATACAACAGCTTTGCGCTCCACAAGAGCACCTCTTGAATCAAGAATATAATGTTCTGCTTGAGGCCCACCTAAGCCAGATGGGTCTTCCCGATTGAGTTCCTAACACAGCAAGGCCACATCCCATTTAGATAGATCTCTCACATTTAAACATAGAAGAATAAAATGAGCTAATACAGAGACACATTTGCAGTATCAGAGAAATAGAGACAAGACGCATACAACACTGCATTAGAAATACAGGATCTAATTGTAAATCACTTGACAAGACTACAACAAATGGCAACAGAGACGTGCTAGCATATATTAACTTCAGAAAGCACCAATAATAAACTGGGATAGCAGATGTTCACTATACTTTAAAACAGCATAATCAGCTTATTGCTAAGTTCACTTGTCAACTAGAAAAATTTCCACAGCAATGTGTGAAAACACAAACAGTCTATATTGCTCTTAGATTTTAAACAGAACAGACAGAAATTCAACAGAACTAATGAATGGCATTACAAGTTGAATATGACGCCAAACATATTTACAAAAAAAAAAAAAACGAATCAGGTGAGAAAGCATGAAGTTGTAAAAGAATGGCAGGAACAGATGGATTATTTTTGCGAATATCAATCTCTAAGGATATGTTACATATTCTTGATCAGCTCATTTTGTCCCATAGCAGATAGGTTTCCACCATCGAGCTTCAGGTTGCAAAGAATTACTAACAACTCAATTGGATCATAGAGCTGAGACCTGGAAAACATCTAATGAAAGGACCGCGGTCACAACTATTGACTAGAAAGCACTGCCCAATAGCTTCACATATGGATCATGCCCGAGCATTGTTTTAAAATGCAGCCGCATCGCCGTATATGAGGCTGCCTCATGCAGTATGCACCAGATGGCGCATTGCAAAACAGGATGTGCCCACATACGCACCGTAACTCACCGAAAAGGGGGAGAAAGGGTTTTGGGGGGCTGGGGAAGGGGGAAGGGGGAACGTAGTGCAAATCGCACGGTGCGTGGTTGCACAGTGCGGCTCATCAGTGCGGGCAACATGCTACACTTTGCACATGAATAGTGCACATTGAGTGATTTGCTTTTGCATGGTGCATAGTACACAAGACTGAGTACTAAGTGCAATTTATGTTGTGCATAATACACGGTGCATGTGTTGTTTTTGCACGGTGCATGTGTTGTGGAAAGCATAGTGCACATTGCATGGTGCACGTGTGCACAAAGCTCGTCATAAGTGCAGGCAACACACCTACACTTTGCACATGAATAGTGCACATTGAGTGATTTGTGTTGTACACAGAAAACTGAGTACAAAGTGCACTTATGTAGCGCTTCATGCGCATGTGTTTTGGGGAATGTAGTGCAAATTGCATGGTGCATGGGTGCACAACGCTCGCCATAAGTGCGGGCACAACGCCTACACTTTGCACATGAATAGTGCACATTAAATGATTTGTGTTGTGCATGGTGCACAGTACTCAAGACTGAGTACAAAGCGCACTTATGTTGTGCTTCGTGCGCATATGTTTTGGGGAATGTAGTACAAATTGCACGGTCTATGGGTGCACAACGCTCGTCATAAGTGCAGGCAACATTGCTACACTTTTTTTTGGGTAATTACAACATCGCCATGGATATGCATAGTGCACATTGAGTAATTTCTGTTGTGCAAGGTGCACAGTACACAAGACTGAGTACTAAGTGCACTTATGTAGTGCTTCGTGCATATGGTTTTTGGGGAACATAGTGCAAATATCACGGTGTGGGGGTGCATAACACTCCTTATGGTGAATGAGAGTTCTTGGAGTAGAGCCCAAAACAGAATCCTCCTTGGCCTCAGTCCTTAAGCTCCTAAAGTGGATTCGCCACACCACTTTATTAACTTCTAGGAGGCCCCTTGTTCTTTCTTGTTAGTCATGTGTGCAAGAGACACTTGGTTCGCTTTGCTCCTCCTAAGAGCCATGTGGCCTCACTTTGCTTCATGGAAGTGACGCCCAGCCAACATAACCTGCCTCTCATTATACTAGCAATCAGTGACTCTATTGTCCTGACGGAATAACCAGTTCTGGACCAGACACTTTAACAGAGATATTTTCTTCATTTAAGTACCAAAATGTGAAGGAACTCAAATACCTATGTGTTGGGAGACAAAACTGCCATTTGGCTTCACCAATAGGATTCTATGGAGGTTGGAGTAGACATATATGCAAAATGGAACTTGGCTGTGCAACAGAAGGCCAATACCCTTTCTTAGTGGTGGAGGTGAGAGTCTCTACTCCTCAAGTTTTCTCGGCAGGGGCATGTCAACAATGGCCTTTACCTTTACAAGAGAAACATTACTCTAGAAAGGTTTTCATCCCTGTGGGAGTAGTACTATAAACATTTCTGTGATTATTCGTGCATACAAACAGCCTTTTACCTCCAACCGCTCCAGTAGGGAGCTCCATTGTTGTGAAACCCTGATAATTAAGAAATAGCTGTTATTTGCACTTCCAAACGGGTCGACTGCTCCGTTAGGAAGCTCCAGCCGCAGTGAAACCCACCTATTTAAGAAATAGCATTTATCTATGTTCCAAACAGGCAGACCGCTCCAATAGGCGGAGCACAGATATCTGCAATTTCGTGCAACCAAATAGGGCCATACTAAGGACTCCAACTTCTAGGCCATAACTTCCCGTTCATAACTCCGATTTGGGCATTGGGCGTATGAACACTCATTGGAAAGCTATTGTCGAGCTCTACAACTTCAAAACTATCCAAGGCAGAATTGCCTTATCGAAAAAGAAGAAGACCTCTACAATCCATTAGCGGTTTTCAGAATAAAGGAGAAACCTAAACACCTCTAATATTTCTAAGGTGGCTTCCTGTCCAAACTACTTCAAGATTACTTGTGAACTAAGTCAAATGAAAGTTGTAGTGTACACAAGGAAAAAGGTGTGCCTTTTATGGATCTCAAAATATAGTTATCCAGACTTTCACCAACGGCTTGCATATGTCTTGTTTCGGCCAATGTATCTCAAGGGCATACCCACGATGGAAAGGCATGAGGACCACTGGTCCTTACCAGCCTAAGCAAGTCATTAAGGACATAACATACACCCTCTTACTATTAGCTGGAAAATCAGTTTTGCGGATCCCCTAGGCAAGCCTGATCACAGGTTTACACAATCATGTAGGTCCTCATAACATAACCAAGATCTCCCAAGGGGTCAATCCCGCTGATGAAGCTTGCTCCTGCACTCCAAGGAGGGGATCTTGTTCCCGTACGATTTTTTGAACTCTAGGATCTCAACCCTTCCTGTCAGGATTAATAGGTGAATTGAGGTACCACCAATGTGGGATTAAGATTCCCTTAGTAGTACACTCTACTGTCCCTCTGGACCTCTTTAATAGGTCAAGAGTTAGAACCTTGACCTTCAACTTAATGTAAGTAAGAGCTATTTTTCACAATTAGTTAACACTTTTAAGCATTATATAATATATTAGTTGCATTTTTTGGTCACACACATAATTTTTTATAGTGGTATCTTTTGGGCTCTTTAACAGATCACAAGTTACCGTAATCTTGAACTTAATCCATCATTATTCAGCATAGAAGGATGGCCATGATTGTTATTATGTTACATAGAGTCGTAAACTACAAAAAGAATTAAAAAAATTAAAATACTATATAGGGATTTGATTTTCTTATTTACTTAATGGTTACAATTTCTTTAAAAAATTATAACTTAATTAATCTATAAACAACACTCAAAGGAATAAAAAATATTAAATCATTACAAAACAAATGCATTCCTTAAATTTTTGGCAATATCTTTGTAAATCCATTAATTTTTTATCATAATTAATGGAATGTGCTCCAGACTTAAGGGCCCCAGTTAAATAAACTTGAGGACCTCGATTTTTAACCAAATGGAGCTCCGACCTATAGAATTTATTATTCAATCTCCAGAAGTTGGGATTGAGTTCCCCAACTTATTGGGATTCTGATCCTAAGTTTTGGAATGTAGGGATAACGATCCTGAACCTAGGGACCTTTTAGCCATTCAAGATCCATCTCTTCTGATCCAATCCCCAAACCAGTCTAGGTTCGGATCCCTATCCCCGTAACTATGCGTTGGATGGACCAACACCCTCAACATGTCAAGAGAGAGAGATAGTCACAAACTCATCAAACATCTTAACACATTCATTGGCCTAGAAAGCTAAATATGAGTAATGGGGAATGATGATAGCTTCAGTGTACTCACTATGACTAACCCTAATAGCAGACAGTGTACTAAGAGGTGCATGCCTAGGTGGCATGAAAGGGCCTTGGTGCCCCACCAAGGTCCAAGCGGGGATCTACTAGGCAGGTACTTACACAGTTATGCACTGCCTAGGTAGGCATTTAGCACCTTGGCGAAGGCGCTTGCTTAGTAGTCTTTGCATGTATGTCTGTATATAAATGTGTTGCGCTCTATATGCATGTGTAGTGGGAGACATACACACAGATTATGTTATGCATATGTGGTGTGGTGTGTGATGGAGAAAAGAGAGAAATTCTGTTGCATGTGTTTTTTGTGTTGTGCATGTGTTGTCCTCTCTCTTTTTAATCTCTCTATGGAACCAGTTAAAATGTTGGGGTTTTGGGTGTGTTACTCTCTCTCTCTCTCTCTCTCTCTCTCTCTCTCTCTCACACACACAAATGGGGAGGGGGGGGGTGGGGTTTGGTTGCTTGAAACATTCCCCCCTTCCTTTTTCTTTGGGCTGCCTCAAGCATAAGGCGCCTATCTAAGCAATGCTACAAGCATTCTAGAACGCATATTGCATATCACTTTGTATGTACATAGAGGGCAAAAAATACATACTGGTCATCTATCTAGTGGTTTCAATTTGTTTCCTAAGGGTGAGTCTCGAATGAGACAGCCTCCAATAAATAGTTGCATGCCGCAAGCACACAGTATTCTTCAGTAAAAAGCTAAAGCTAGTTCACTCTATATCACAAAATGATGGGGCTTTTTTGTGTCAAAACTAACCCCCCCTCCCCTGTTTCCTTTTTCTTTGGGCTGCCTCGAGCATGAGGTGCCCATTCTAAGCAGAGCTATACGCTTTTTAAAACACATATTGTATATCACTTAGTTTTTACATCATCATCTAAGCCTTATCCCAACTATTTGGGATCGACTACACAAATCCTATTCTGCCATTCTACTCAATCAAGAGCCATACCCTCAGTAAGGCTGTACGTCCCCATATCTCTTTTCACTACTTCTATCTATGTCCGTTGGGGCCTACCCCTTGACCTTTTAGATCATTCTACTTGAACGAAATTGCTTGTATTGGGTCTACTGCACGTGGTCAACCCACATTAGTCTACATTCCGTCATCTTATCACCTATTGAAGCCACACCTAAGCTCCCTCGAATGTATTCATCTTTCTTGTCTTACCACTTATCCATCTGAACATCCTCATCTTAGCTACACTCATCTTATAGGTAGATTATTTCTTAATCACTAAACATTCCATCCCATAAAGCAAAGCTGGCCTCACAATTGTCCTATCGAACTTTCCTTTCTGCTTCATTGATATGCGGTGATCAGATAAAACTCATGTTGCACATCTCCACTTTACCCACTCAACTCTAAATCTATGTACGACATCCTCCTCAATCACTCCATTTTCCTGGATTATCGACCCAAGATATCAAAAACACCCTTTTAGGTATTTATTGGCCACCAATCTTAACTACTTCATCGTTTCTACTCCTATTAATACTGAACCTACATTCAATATATTTTGTCTTAGTCCGATTAATTTTAAAACCCTTACATTCTAGAGCATTCCTCTAAAGTTCTAACTTTGCGTTGACGCCACTTCTAGTCACGTCGATCAAAAATATATCACCCACAAACAACATACACATGGTATCTCATATTTTAGGCGTCCAAACTAAAACAAAGAGATATGGGCACAATGCTGACCCCTGATGTAGGTGTATCACTTTGTTTTTACATAAGGGACAAAAATATATATTCTACGCATGTATTTGGTGGTTTCAATTTGTTTTCCAAGGTGAGCCTCAAATGAGACACCATTTCCATGAATAGTTGCATGCCACAAGCACATGGTATTGTTTAGTAAAAAGGGAAATAATAGTTCGCTTTATGCTCACCACCAGCTCTGTGTAGAAAAATTGGGTGGTGCTTCAAGGTCATGTGTTAATTTATCATAACCAGTATAGTACAAACAGCCCATTCATATCCTGGGCTTTATAAAACCCAAGTTCCCTTGAAGTGGGGGTGTTTAGCACCTTTTTTCACTCAAACCTGGGTTTCAAGCCCCTAATGGGCCTATTTTAGGTTTTGAGCGAACGATGAGAGAGGGTTTTCTAAAAGCTAGGTTTTGGATGAAACTCATGCTACCCGAATATATCAGGGAAATCCCTATGAAATTCATATATATCAAAACAAAAAATTATCAACTTTATTCTAAGATGCAATATGCATACCAAATGCTATGCTACAAGTACTTTCCTATTTCCTTGAAGTCAAGTAAAGTGTGTGGCATATGAAAATTCTAGTGTTTAGCACATGGATCAAATCACTCAAAATGTTCAGTGACAGCCAATCACCATGTGATTCCAACTTGATTTAATTGACCTGAGTTTTCCCTCATGCTTTCATTCGTTTCCTTTCCTACAAGAGCAAAAGATATTCCATATTTCATTTGCAGCATACATTCGTTGGCTATATCTTCAAGGAAAGAAGTCAAGCTTGAGCCCCAAAAACTCAACTACAGGCAATGGTAACAGTTTCAAAAAAAAAAAAACTCAACTAGAGCCTCCAATTTATAGTGAAAGAATAGAGACACATCTATGCAGTTGTGACCATTAATTTCATTGAGCAAAATGAGAAAGAGAAATAAATAAAACTAAAAACTGAAACACTTACAATGAAGATTGATTAACAAAACAAGAAAAAAGAAAAACAAAACAAACCTTGAGGAGGTTTATTAAACGTTGTCGAAGTCCTGACTTTAACAAATCCTCCAAGTATTGTAGTATGTCACTTGCCAGATCAGTGTCAAGACCCTGATCCAGAACAACAGCCTGTAACAAGATCCAACCACTTTTTGAATAAAGAACCAAGTTACAAAAACAAAAAAATAGTAAAAAGTAAGCTAGACAACAAAATGAGAACTGTAAAGATAACATAAGATATTAGTACCCAACTCTTAAATAAAGGAAAAGGTTGTTGGTGCGACCAAGTTAGTGTGTTGTCTCCTTCCAAAATCCATCTGAGATATGAATTTTGGATCCAAAATTTCATAGGGTGAGAATCTCAACCACCATGATCATGAATCTTAAAAAAAAAAAAATGGAATTTAAACCTTAAAGTATATGAATACGAAATAATTAAAGTAGACTGTCCAACAGCAATATGAAAAAAGAATTTAAATCATCAATTTTATTTTACTTTTTTAAAAAAATTCATGACGGCGGTGGTCGAAATTATTGACCCATTAAATTTGAGCCCCAAAGTTCATCTATAAGATGATTTTGGAAGAAGCCCTCACTTGAGTAGAGTGCGTCAGTCCATGCACCAAAGCCCCATCCTTAAATAAATATTGAAGCACTTGAACAGGAAACGAGTACCCGCATAAGTGTGTATAGCGATGTTAGCAAAGCCCTTCGCTCAGTGTACCATAGTCCTTCAGCAAGACGTAATATTTCCAATGGCTCTCGTCCAAATAAACCCCACTAGAAAGAAAACGGATGACATAATAATTCACAGTAGTTTTTTCTTTTATGAGCAAATACCACAGTGGTAGAGATTAGATAAAATATTATACTATTTTATCTACAACAAACAATTCGTAGAAGTTATAATTTGGCACTGAATTAATCTTGAACATGAGGAGAGGGTACCTCTTGATGAGCAGAAACCAATAAAACAACAGAATCGATCTCATTAAGGTTCAGGTCATCACTCAGCTTTATAACCTGAGTCAAATAGCCGATAAACTCAAATTATATTCATGGATGGCACACCATGTTTCTGAAAGAGTTAAAATAAGCATAAGAGATAGAGAGAGAGAGAGAGAGAGAGTGAGAGAGTGGGTGTGTGGGTAATAAGATGAAGAACCAACAATTTGAACATCTTGGCCATCGAGGGTGATGATCGATGCGTCTGGAAGTCTCACTTCCTTAGAGAGAACATGTGCTCGATCTGAAGCCTTGGGACCCTGCAATAAATAAACAATTGAGCAAACTCCAATAATACTAGTACAACCATTTTGTCAAACAAATTAACTAAACTACTCCAAACAATTGTAAAAAAAACAAAACAACAAAAAGGAAATTGGTGAAGAGAGAGAAGAGGGAGATCAAAGGTGCTATGGAAATCATTCCCTCTAAGAAGGAACTAATTGACCCCAAAAAATTTGAGAGAGAGAGCCCAAAGGTAATATGGAGACCATTCTCAACACTCCCTGGAAGAAGAAGTATTAAATGACCCAAAAGTTGAAATAAGATACCTAGAGAGAGAGACATTGAAGTCTCAAACCACCATGGAAATCATTCTCTGAAAAAATGAACAAAATGAAACAACTGACAACAATAATACAGAGAGAGATTCATGGGGTTACCGGGTAGGAGAGTAGGGATTGAAGGGCAGAAGAGAAGGAGCGAAGGGTGTGCATGAGCTCAAGTCTCTGGAGCGAAGTTGCAGAAGAGGAGGAGAGCAATGTCGACTCCACTGTGGAGAGGAGAAGCTTAGGCGAAACCATGGCTACTGCCAGGTTAAGAGAGAGAACGAAAGTGAACCTCTCCCAATTCTTTATGCAAGAACAATCGGTAAAGAGTAAAGACCAAAGACGCGCGAAATGCAGCTTGATCGGGGTTTTGAGTTAGGAGCGAGAGAAAGAGAGGGAGGCCGCTTTCAAACCACGCGTCTAGGGTTAAAAAAACCCACATTCCATTTTTTAAAAAAAATTAGGTAAATAACCGTTTTAGTTCCCCTTATTACCAAAATACCGACACTTTTGTTATTAATTATCTACTTATTTTTTGGACTTCATAATAATTTAAAAAAAAACGATGATACTATATATTTTCGGTTTTTAAAAAATGGAGAGAGAGAAGCCGCTTTCGAACCACGCATCTAAGGTTAGAAAAACCCGCATTCCATTTTTTTTGAAAAATTACGTATTTATCTATTTTAGTTCCTCTTATTACCAAAATATCGGTACTTCCCGTTATTACTTATATGTCTATTTTTTGAACTTCGTTTAAAAAAAAGACAGGCGAAACAACCCATTTTAGGTTTGTCAAAAACCAAGAGAGTGAGAGAGGGGCTGCTTTCGAACCACGCATCTAGGGTTAGAAAAACCCACATTCCATTTTTTTAAAAAAATACATAAATGTCTATTTTAGTTCCCGTTATTACCAAAATACCGATACTTTCCGTTATTACCAATATGTCCATTTTTTGGACTTCATAACAATTTAAAAAAAAAAAGACGAAACTATTTATTTTCTGTTTTTCAAAATCCAATAGAGAGAGAGATATAGAGAGGCCGCTTTCGAACGACACCTCTAGGGGTTAGAAAACCTCGCATTCCATTTTTTTTGAAAAATTACGTAAATATCTGTTTTAGTTCTTATTAACCAAAATACCGATACTTTCTGTTATTACTTATATGTCCATTTTTTTTACTTCATAACAATTTTTTTAAAAAAAATACGAAACTACCCATTTTCAGTTTTTCAAAAACAGAAATCGGGTCAATTTCGGTTTTTCAAAAACCGTAATCAAGTCCATTTTGATTTCAAAAAACCAAAAATTTTAAATTTTTGATTTTTTAATTTTTCAATTTTTCAAAAACCGAAAAGTTTACTCTCTTTTGTAGATCCTTTGTGTATTTTCTCTCTATCCCTTTCTCTCTCTACCGCTATCAATTGGGTCAATGAAATCGTCCATTGAACTAAGCCCAACGTCCATAATCTTCAAATCCTTTATAGGTCTGATTTCGGTTTTTGAAAAATCGAAAATGGGTAGTTTGTTTTTTTAAAAAAATATAGTTATGAAGCCCAAAAAAGAGACATATCAGTAATAACGAAAAGTATTTGGCATTTTGGTAATAACAAAAACTAAAATGGATATTTACGTAATTTTCTCCTTTTTTATTAACATTAAAAATGCAGTGCAGTTCGCATTCGGATGCATCCCTAGCTGTAGAGGTAAGGTGCACCTTCAAATTTTATCATGGTATATATTTTTGATGTGGAATGTTCTTAGGATTATCTCAAAATCTATTTTTATATCTAATTATAAAATTTCAAAAATGGTTAAAATCAAGTAGATCTATAAACATATGAAAATCTTGAAAATGGACGGTGTAGATAATATGTTGTAAAATTCACTATTTCTGAGACTTACAAATCTTTTTATTTTTTATGGTCATACATCTTGATGTCGAAATGATCAATCAAGGGGTTTTTCAACACTAAAACTACCTTTTTCAATGGATTTTTGAGGTGAATCTGTAGCTCTACATTATAAAGTTGCATTCTTATATAAACTTTTTCCTTAAGACTGTCAAAAAATAAAAAATAGAAATAAGGAAAGGGTGGGGTCGTCATTTTCTTTTTTGAAGGGTCTACCTTCAATTTTAGAAAATTTACGTACGGACCGGATTAAGATAAATGGCCTAGATATGGGCCATTATTTCCAAGAGAGACCGAATCCTCAATTTTTTTTTGATAAGTTTGCCCCCACTCCCATGTTTCAAACATCGGACCAAACTTTAGCTTAAAAAACCCCAATTTTTCCTCAATCTTTCATCTCGCTCTCGTTCTCTCTCTCTCAATTTGCTTCCCACTCTCTCTAAATTTATGTGTCTCTTCCTCGCTTTGCCTCTATAAATCCCCCCACTCTCTCTTCCCGTCCCCACAAGATCTTTCTCTCTGTCGCCACAGTTTCGGTTCATATTAAATTGCATTTATTAATCAGGAAAAATTGACATCCTTTTTGTCCCACATTCTCACTCTCTTTATGACGGTTTTGGGTTTTGTTTTTTGGGAAATTATCACAAACATACTTTAATTTTAGTCTATTTAGAAAAAAAACCTCTCAACTTTCATAAACCTCGCCCACACATTTTTTTACCAAAATAACATTCACGGTACAGTAATTACAGTACTTTAAGTACAATAAAAACTAACCCAAAGCCATGTTATACAACATTTAAGTACCATAAACCCACCCATGTTATACAGCATTTTAAGTACCGTAAAAACTAACCAATATTATATGGCACTCGAAATGCCGTAAACCCTTTTCTCCTTCTATTTTTTTTTATCTTTTTCATCTCTCTAATTATTTTTATGTTTATCTCTTCTTTCTCTCTCTAATTCATTTTAATATGGAAAAAGTTTATATAAGGTTGCACACTTATAATTTAGAGCTACGGATGCACTTCAAAATCCATCGAAAAAGGTAGTTTTAATGTTGAAAAACCTTTTGATTAATCATCTCGACATCGAGATGTATGGCCATGAAAAATAAAAAGGATTTAAGTCTCAGAAATAATGCATTTTACAACATATTATCTACAACATCCATTTTCATGATTTTCAAATGTTTATAGATCTACTTGATTTTAACCATTTTTTAAATTT